TGTCACACAGGAATGTAGTACCACCTTGCACAGGCAGTTTCCAGTTTAATAAAGCATTTCTTGGACCAACCCAAGTATGAGGAGACAGAAGAGGTTCCCTTTACATTTGGTAGTGCCGTAGGTAGATCAGTTTCTGAGGATGGAACTTCTCTCTGCACAGTGGACATTCTGCCTGCAGAAAGAAAAGGGAATGGATGGACATACTGAATAGTTGTATTTTTAAAAGCCGAATAGAACTCAATAGCTGCTTTTAGAAAATAATTTTTCAGTCCCAGCTGTGGTACAAGCTCCCCTGAGCTGGCCCAGTGTTGAGTGCTGAGCTCACCTGTGTCACTGTCACTGTGTTGGCACAGCTCCCAGCGCTGCTGAGCTGTGTGTACTCACCCTGGTGCTGCACCAGGCCGTGATGCACTCCCAGCAGAAGAGGTGCCCGCAGGGGGTGGCTGTGCTGTGCCTCCTCTCCTCCAGGCACAGCGTGCAGCGCGACTGGCGCCCGGCCGCCGCCTCCCTGCTCCTGCTTCTAATTAACACAGGCACAGCGGCGTTAATTGTGTTAATTGCACTCACCCTGCTCGGCAGAAATGCTGGGCAACACATCCTGGGGTAAAACCCTTGCTCAAGGATCAGCCCTTTTCATGGAGGTCTCTAAAACACCAAAGTAGGAAGTTCAAGACACACAAACCAGCAAATAATTACTTGTGCTAATTAATGAAATGTTTACATCAGACTGTAACCTAAACTGGGGTGTCACTCCTGTTCTTTCCCACCTCTTTCCTAAGAATTAAGAACCACCTCTTTCTTACTTCTGGTGGGTGAGGTTGCGGTGCAGCCTCCACTCCTGCCTTGCTCTCTGCTTCTGTTTGAAGCTGTACATCTGAACTCCAATGGTCAGCAGAAGGTGGAAGAGGGAAATTATTCCAAGAAACTTGTAACTTGATCTGATGCTCTGATCTTCTCCTTGCAGTCCTCCAAAATGCAGCTAGAGAATTCACAGAAAGAGAGGTGTTTTGTTACTGTGGTTTTAGGAAACTGTTCTCCCTCTCCCCATCTGCAATAGACTTGATTTGGGATTTTCATAATGTCAAAAAAATTTACATTTTAGGACTCCTCAACCAGCTGTCTCTCAGGAGGTGTAACCACCTTCAATCAGGCTGGACTTAGCTGCTGTGTGCCCATAAAAATTGCAGCTTTAATTGCTTTGGTTTTCTTATGTATCTGAGCAAACAAACACCTATTTCCTGCACTGATGCTGGGAATTGTTGAGAACTCTTTTGTCTGTTCACATTTCTGATGGTTTTTTGTAAACATACAAAATTACCTTCATATAGAAAAGTGCTACCTAAATGTATACTGAGTGTTGTTCAAAACAGCATTTCCCACGGATTTATCAAGTCACCTGTCACTTCCAGTGTGTTTGTGGCAGACAGACTGAAGTTATACAGTAACTTCATACATAGAATATTTATGAACATCATACATAGAATATGTATGAACATGAATAAACATTGATGTTTATTCCTGTAACCTCCTGACTGCAGGGACTCATCATCCCCCACATAAAGCAAAACCTTCCCTCTCACCCCTCTGCCCTGCAACAGCCAAATTCCTTATCCCTTTTATACATACAGCACCCAAGAGGCCAAAATCCTGCAGTGGACACATCTTGAACCCAAAGCACTTACATATGAGATGCCTGTGACCCTTTTGGACAGGTGATAGAAGGTGCCCTGGATGTAGAACACTGCCAGGTGGAGCCGGTGCAGCAGGGGGATGGATTGTTTGAGGACATCCACAACCTGGGATGCTCTTTTCTTCTGCTGCTCACTGAGCTGCCCAACCTGCCTCCGAATCCAGCTGCGAATGAAGCTCCTGCTGGGAAAGCCAAGGGCTGGGGGGCTCTCTGGGCTCCTGCATTCCTCAGCCTCCACCTGCAGCTCGTGTTGGAGGTGCAGCAGTGCCTTTTCCAGGCAGTAGGGCACCAAGGTGTGCAGGGAAATGAAGAGGGCCCGACGAAGGAAGGAAGGCACCTTCTTCTTGCTTGGGTCAACCTGAATGATGTTCACATACTCTTCTCCCAGGGTCTGATAACCTAAACAATGTGTGAGAGAAAACAGGGTGAGAGGGCAACTGCAGCATCATTCTGGATGTGCTGAGCGGTGGGGACAGGCTCTTCAGGCTTTGGAATTTGGAAATAGTTTTTTTTTTGTTGAATTAAGATAAGCGTCATGGTGACATCCAGTATCTGCAGTTGTAGGCTTGAAGCAGGGATACTTTCCATGGTATCCCTGATTTTAAAAAAATCCTATTCCTGCTTTTAGAAGAACATCTGTCTGTGTGTTTGAAACCAACAATTTCGTGCTTTCATATTTACCAGAAGGCATTTATCCAAACCAAACCAACCCCCAGGCTGAAAAGAACAGACTGCTGTTGGGCAGTCTCGGGTGGTGATCACCAGCACTGGCTCCCCAGCTTTCAGATGTTGGCAGAAATTATAATAAACGATAAACGACAGAGCAGGTTACCTGACAGCGTGGTGAGCACGAAATAAGCCACATCGGAGAGCAGCTCCACCTCCCTCCTCCACGCCAGCCACGGCCGGGCACCTGCGGGACGGGGCTGTCACTGCACCAGATC